CCTGCGTTATTTTTCAGTCTGTAAGCATTGGCGTAGCACAGCTTTAATTCTGCAGAGAACTATCCCTTGCCATCCAAAGTAGTCTCGGCGACGCATATTTATTTCTACTTCTTCCGATTGTTTCTTAATACGACGAAGCAGACTAAGATTCCCACGCACATATATGTATGAGTTTTACAGTGTTAGGTTTCCTTCTTCAGCAGAAGCTAAAAGTAACCTTTAAGAGGCGCCTTTTTTGAGCACCTTCATAATTCAAATTTTGTCCCATTTTATAAAGATTACAGATGTATATTCCTAAAGCTATTTCCGGAAGTAGCTTGCTTATTTTGGACTTAATGTGACTGAGGTCGTGTTCAAATCCAGCCTTTGGTTCCTTTTCGAAAGATTCCCATTTACTTACTTACTTACGCCTGTTACTCCTCGTGAAGGAACATAGGCCGCTCACCAGCATTCTCCGTCCAACCCTGTCCTGGGCAATCCTTTCTAGCTCAGTCCAGTTGTAATTCATCGTTTTCATATCTGTTTCTGTTGTCCGACGCAATGTGTTCCTTGGCCTTCCTCTTTTTCGCTTCCCTTCAGGATTCCAAGTTAGGGCTTGCCTCGTGATGCAGTTTGACGATTTTCGTAGTGTATGTCCTATCCATTTCCATCGTCTTTTCCTAATTTTCTCTTCAGCTGGAAGTCGGTTTGTTCTCTCCCACAAAATGCTATTGCTGATAGTATCCGGCCAATGGATGTTGAGTATCTTGCGTAGACAGCTATTTATAAATACTTGTACTTTCTTGATTGTGGTTGTTGTAGTTCTCCAAGTTTCAGCTCCATACAGTAGAACTGCCTTGACGTTCGTATTGAAGATTCTTACTTTGATATTGGTTGAAAGTTGTTTTGAGTTCCATATATTCTACAATTGTAGGAATGCTGTCCTTGGTTTGCCAATCCTCGCCTTTACGTCTGCATCTGAAATGCCTTCTTCATCGGTGATGCTTCCTAGGTATGTGAAGGGTTCTACATCTTCCAGGGTTTCGCCATCAAGATTGATTGAAATGCTGTTTTCCGCTTTGAATTTGAGGACCTTGGTTTTCCCTTTGTGTATGCTGAGGCCTACTGATGCAGAGACTGCTGCTACACTGGCTGTCTTCATCTGCATCTGTTCGTGTGTACGTGATAGGAGGGCTAGGTCATCTGCGAAGTCCAAATCGTCTAATTGGTTCTGAGCTGTCCATTGTATTCCGTGTTTTCCTTCAGATGTCGAGGTCCTTATAATCCAATCGACCACCAGAAGAAAGAGGAAGGGAGAGAGTTGACAGCCTTGTCTGACTCCGGTCCTTACTTGGAATGCATCTTTCAGATGTCCTCCATGCACTACTTTGCACTGTAGTCCGTCGTATGAGTTCCGGATAATATTGACAATCTTCTCAGGAACTCCGTAGTGTCGAAGAAGTTTCCATAATGTCCCCTTATCTACACTGTCGAACGCCTTTTCATAATCAATGAAGTTGATGCATAGTGACGAGTTCCACTCAACTGATTGTTCGACGATGATCCGTAGTGTTGCACTTTGGTCTGTGCACGAACGATCCTTACGGAATCCAGCTTGTTGATCTCGAAGTTGGGCGTCTACTACATCCTTCAACCGGTTCAGCAACACTCTGTTGAAGACTTTCCCTGGTATTGACAGTAGTGTAATGCCTCTGTAGTGTTCACATTTGCTCAGATCTCCTTTCTTTGGAATCTTGATGAGGTGTCCTTCTTTCCAGTCAATTGGCACTTGTTCCTCCCTCCAAATCTTTTTAAATAAAAGGCAAAGCATGTTTGTGGTTGCTTCAATGTCTGATTTCAGTGCTTCAGTTGGTATGTTGTCGGGTCCTGCTGCTTCCCCGCTCTTGATTTGTCTGATGGCCATTCTGATTTCTTCCGTAGTTGGTGGATTAACATCTATAGGAAGATCTGTGTGCGCTGCTTCGATGTCCGGTGGATTCATTGGAGCCGGCCTACTCAGGAGTTCCTCGAAGTATTCTGCCCATCTGTTACTCTGTTTTTGAATTTCGGTGATTGGCTTGCCTTCTTTGTCTTTGACCGGCCTCTCTGGTTTACTGTATTTCTCTGCTAGTTTCTTCGTTGTATCGTAAAGCTGTTTCATATATCCTTCTCTAGCAGCCTTTTCTGCCGTCGTTTCTAGTTCTTCCACGTATTTCTTGTTGTCGGCTCTAATGCTCCTCTTCACTTGTTTGTTTGCTTCTATGTATTCAGCTTGTGCTTGGACTTTCTCTGCTCGTGTTCGGCTGTTGTTTATCGCTGCTTTCTTGTTCTTCCTTTCATTGATCTTGTCCAGTGTTTCTGTAGAGATCCATCCCTTATGATTGTATTTCTTTAGACCCAGAACCTCTTGGCACGTTGAAGTTAATGCTTTCTTGATGCCTTTCCAGTTGTCCTCCATAGTAGTTTCCTCTTCTTTCAGTAGATCTTGTAAGGCTTGGAACGTGTTGTTGAGAGTTATCTTGAATTCGTTGAGTCTTTTAGTATCTCGAAGGAAAGCTGTATTGAACCTTTGTAATGCTGTTTGTTCACTTGCCCAGTTCTTTTTTAGCTTCAGTTTTAAATTGGCTACAACTAGGTGGTGATCTGAAGCTACGTCAGCACCTCTCCTGGTTCTCACATCTTCGATTGTCCTTCGGAATTTTTTGTTGATGCAAATATGATCTATTTGGTTCTCTGTAGTGTGGTCCGGTGAGATCCATGTATCCTTGTGTATACGCTTGTGTGGAAATATTATACCTCCTATGACCAATTTGTTGAATGCACATAGATTTGCAAATCTTTCTCCATTTTCGTTTCTTTCTCCCAGTCCATGTCGTCCCATAATATCTTCATATCCAGTGTTGTCTATTCCGACTTTGGCATTTAGATCTCCCATCAGAATAGTTAGGTCCTTTCTTGGGCATTTCTCTATGATTGACTGCAGCCGCTCGTAGAACTGATCTTTAATTTCGTCGTTGCTATCATTGGTGGGTGAGATTCCCATCCTACAAGTGCATTTCGTGCTACTTTGGACAGCATAAGAACGACTCCCTGAGTGTGTGGAGCATTGTCCTTTTCGTGACCGGAGTATAGCAGCATCTCTCCCGTAGCTAGCCTTTTCTGTCCAGCTTGTGTCCAATGGGTTTCGCTGATTCCCAGTACTGCTAAGTTGTATCTCCTCATTTCCATTGATATTTGACTGGTCTTCCAGGTTTCCCACATTGTTCGAACGTTCCATGTACCTATAAAGATTTCAGCTCTGGTTGTTAGAAGGGGCATCGGCCTCATGGCTTCCGAAGGAACTCGGCTTTCACCATGAAGCGTCATAATTCTTCTAAATGAAGACCTTCTAACTCCCAGGGCAGAGTTAAAATGGTTTGGATTATTTTTTCTGGTAAGCGTTTTTTTTAGCGAGTTAGTTTTCTACGGGATAAGGACGCTAACCCCATGCCCAACCCTCCTCCTTTACCCGGGCTTAGGACCGGCAGTAAGCCCATAAGAGCTACAGGCGGAGTTGAAGATTCCCATGACCTATGAGAAATGGCTGGTTGTCAGAGAGGTCCGTTTTAACAAGCTGCAAGGTTTTGTTTCCTAAAATATTCTCATCTCTGTTGTCTGATTTAGCGTCAATCGCAGAGGTCTCACTCTGTTTCCCCACTTTTGTTTTTCTGAATGCAACCGTAAGTCATTCATTTACTTTATTATGTCTCTTGGTCAGATCATTCACACCGCTCAAGCTTTGCTCCCCAATTGTCTGTTTTGCGTTGATATGTGAATCCGTAACTGAAACCGTAGACCCATATATCTTAGTGCTGCCTATATTTTGTCGCTTTTCAGCATGCCTTTTCTTTTCCCCTGTAACAATGCCTACATCTGAATGCTTGTCATCCGCTTCTCTAATGGGGTCCACCTTGATGGTCTCATTCGAATCCATAGCTTGGCCCGTCATGATGCCCTCTATTTCCCCGGAAAATGAAGTCTGCTCATCTAGTGCTGCCTTTTTATCTGAGGACATGTTTTCAGCTGTGTTCAACAGCACAATCGTCTCAGGACTCAGAAGAGACGGTGTAGAATAGCATGCTTTGCACAGCTAATGTGATAGTGGGTCGCACCACTTTTTATATGCAGCAGATATTTGTCCGGGATATATATTACGATGCCATGTATTGCGCTTTCTACAGTGCATTCCATCGCTGACCGAGAATTAGCATGTAAGTCTACCACAACGACATTTTGCTTGAGCCATGAAATTGTTTAGTGATCTCACGGGAAGAACAACAACAAAAACTGATTTCAATGATAAATGTCTTCCAAGGCTTTATAGGTGATAGAAACTGGACACACAGAAGGAAAGGTTTGTGCATAACAACACTGAAAGAAGTTGACTTCAGTAGATACAAAAAGACCTTAACAAACAATCCTAAAAGACATGCTCAATGACGGACGGACGATTTAGGTTGTGTAAGAGTTCTAACTCACCGCATTTCCTTCGTAGCCTAACGAAGAGGCGCGCGTAAAATGTAACGAAAAAGGTGGCTTTGATTTGCTTCACTACAACATCCTGATTTCTATAATATTATGTACAATTTATGGCATATCGTGCGATATCGAAATTTGCTACAGTTTCATTACGTGTAATTCTTAAATGTAAAGTAGGATTGAGTTTAGTTCGTAAAACCTAATAAGGAACCCAGTTTCTGTGCTGAACATCTACCTTTCTAGAAAAGATCAGAAGCATAAAGTCCCTCAAAACAATCCTGTATTCTGTCGATAACCTGCCGGTTTGAGAAATGCACCCAACTGGATATAACTATGCACTATTCTAGTACATATCGAGGACATACCTTATAGAGAATCATTTCGGATCCCTTTAAATGAAAGGTACTACTAATAAACCCAGAAGGTTTACGAGCTTTAGAGACTTAAGATAAGGCTTGTTCTTTGAATGAATGATTTTAGAGTACCTCGGTCCTAATTCACTAATGTTACTTTATCGTTTAAATTTTACTCTTCTTAGATGTAAGCTTATCTGTGTGAATGGAACCGAAAATTTGAGTACTAAAAGAGAGAAACAATTCATTACACCAGTCTTGGAGTTTACTCAGATTGTAGTGGTAACTGAATCCCTAAAATCAATAGCTCTGTGCACCTTCGACATTTTGTGCCGACCATATTAGTTTTGATGAACTCACCTGATTGATGGCGCTCGGTCACGCATCCGCACCAGATCACGAGTAGGTACGCTGCGCCCAACTTCTGCAGCCGCCAGCCAGCCTAGATCAGTCACTTCTCGATATACCAATAGCCTATCAAATATATCTTCGAAGCTATTCGCTCTTGACCTCAGGTTTCACTGGATTGGCACGTTTTGATCACAGATGCTACTGGTTAACGTGTTGTCAAACTCCAAATACTTATGGTATCTTTAAGATCGTTCTAAATTTTACAACTGATTTGTACATTGATTTTGAATGGATTGCATATATTACACTAGCGATTGAACTTCTAGTATTCGTTCTGAACTTAGAGTTAATAAACCGAGGATTGAATGTATGGAAAGAACCACTTACCTTTGCATAGTGTAGGAGGCTTTCTTGAGTCACTCTTATCAAGTCACACCAAACAAAAACTCCGTGTTTAATTAATCCCTTTTTAATTTAAGAATGAAAACAAATTATATCACAATACAAAATACCTCAAACGGTACAACCTGTGCTATACAATCAAGGTTTGTCTATCACGAAATAGTGTACTAAATAGCGGAGGAAACAATAATTAGGTATTTGGGTCTTGGTGGACCAAATATATCCCTTCTTAAATTAGGACAAATTTGTTAAAAAATAAAAGGTTTCGTTAGTTAGTGTATTGAAGTATAAATTATGCACAGAGGAAAATATGCTCTGTTACTTAGATTTTAAAAAGGAGGCGTATTCGAGTTGCAGTCCTGTGATTCATAATAAGTAGTCAGTGACCCAAACAACCAAAAAGGGGAAATAAAGGGGAAAACGCATCAGAATGTCGCCTTTTTCGCCTGTCCGGAGGAAATGCTGCGGATTTCCCCCTGTTTTGACGCTTTGTCGATAAATTACCGACTTTTCGCCTAAATATCCGCTGATTTGTCTACTTTTCGCTTAAATGTCCGCCGAATTTTCCACTTTTTGCCCAAATTTCCGCGGAATTGCCTACTTATACGTTTAATTGTCTACTTTTCGGCTAAATACACACAGAACTCCCTATTTTCGATACAATAACATAACCTCAAAGGTCTCCTATGTTCTCCTATATTCTGAACAACAGACCAAAATAAAACTGCAATGCACTGAAAGACCGGTATATTTTTAAAAAATTTTATTGAAAAGGAAAAGCGTATTATTGTACATTAGAGCAGAAGCTTCAACATCGATTGTTTTGCATATCCATTGCAATTGCCGATTCATTGTTATTTGAAATTATCTGCAAAAGAAGGAACAGGTGATGTATTATTTATAAGGAATGTGCATTTAATCAAAAGTTCATTGACACTCAAACACAAATTCTCAACACTTCTATAGTTTTCCATGTAATTAATGAAGTCAGCTCTTTTACCAAAATTTGTTTAATAAAAATGAGATAGAACATAAAGAAAATTGCACGGACTATGATCTTCAGTCACGTTCGTTCGGCTATTGAGAATTGAGGTAGTCGTTTCGTGAATTCTAAAGTAAAAACAACAAAAAAAGTCACAAGCATATCTCAATGACATGCTTTGGCACAGACAAATATTTGAAGCTGAACTTACGGTTATGTTCGTTAATATTGTTGACTGTAACTACAGAGCCGTAGGGAAGTTATCACTTTAAATTAGTACATACCTGATCTTGTTCCCTTCTATTACGCCTTATCATTTTGTCTCGGATATCGTGAAAGTAATCTTGTGTCACGATGTTGTACAGCTAACGACGGTCTTTTTCGTTGATAGCGGATGACAGAAAGCGATTTGTTAAGGCACCTGAAGTTGAAATAACAAATATCAGTTACTTCGTATGCACCCTTAAAACCTGCATTTCTGAAGTGCTCGTTTTGTACCTTGTTTTTATGACAATAGTTTTGGTTTTTTATTAAGCGGTGCCTTAATTTGTCGACGTGTATGAAAACTTAAGTTCTGAATGCGGTTCATTCAAACAATGTGCGTAACGTCCAATTGTCGACAAATTTTTCCCCAAATACACGACGTAAAGGCGAAAAAGCGACATTTCCCGTTTATTTACGCTTTCGTCCGCTTTATTTCCCCTTTATTCGCCTTCACTTCCCCTTTATTGGTTGCTTGGGGATCCCAAATATGGCTGATGAAATCCAGGATGTGTATCTAGAGTAATCAGGTGACGAGGATATCAATACCATCTGTGAATATAAACATCAAATATATCAGAGTCATGTTATCGGGACTGATGATAAGTGAGAACAAGAAGTATGTGCGCGCAAAAGTATATGTATCGGTGACAATAGATGTGTCATGCCACGAGAGAGCAGACTTGGAACGAAATATTAAAATCAAAGTGTTTTCAAACAAAACGTTTACAGTCAGTAGTAGTAACTGCACAGTTTATGAGAAATAATAAATTATTGAAACAACAGCAAATACTAATATCAGAATAAGCTCATGTCAACTATCTCCACAAAGACTCGGGAATTATTGAGAGCTCTCTGAACAAAAGGGGATCAAATATCTATCTGAAAATGCTCGATTCACCGTTTCTAGGAAGCAGACTAAGGTCAACAATCACCAACCGAACCACGCTGTAACCTTAAGTCTAGTCAAACACTACCTTATTGTCAATGTGCCGGCAACGTGCTACGATAAAGTTAAATTAAAAAAGTCAATCTTGGTCACGATCAAACAATGGAAACCCTAATAAATAAGATTGCTAAACAAAAAATGTTTGTACTAATTTATTGAATTTTGAAACCTACCAATTCTTTTGAGGCTTCTTGACCTTGGTGCATAAACAATTTGTGTCTGTGAAAGCCGGGCTTTATTTATTGTGAAATAACCCTGTGTAAGTGATAACCTTATTTTTCTTTGTGCAGTTGGCTTTCAAAGTAGTCAGTTCTTTAGAGATTTGTTTTTAATCGAGGTCATTCATATTCAACGTCTTTCTCGCGAAACTTACACCGATCGTTTGCTTTGTCCTCGCCTGTTGTTTTGTACGGTTCTAGGTCTCTTGCAATATCAGTAGGGTAGTATAGCCATTTGACTGTTCTAGTTCTCGTTAGTTTGGTAGTTGTTTGTGGATTTGTATGTCTTGTGGGAGAATGAGTCTTCGAACATTGGGAAATGGACTCAAAATAAGATCTTATTTTGGGAGAATTTTTTTATCCGTTTTGGGTAAACCGTTATAGAAAATTTCGGGAAAATATTGGGGACTTCCCCAAAATGTGTGGAAAACCCCGAAATCGAAAGATTGGGTGTCTCAATACGGTAGGGCTTCTGTATATCAACACCTACTACATTGCCAGGCGAGAGTTTGGTTAGTTGCAATCTGAGAAATAGAAAGGAAAGAATTCTATTGCTAATAGAAAACGACCGTTTCATGAAATGATAGACAAATAAGTTAATTGGTGATGTCGATAGCGTGAGTAAACCGAATTGTATGAATAAGGAGAGAAACGGAGATAACAATAAAAGAGATAGGAAGTATTTACTGTTATGTAATAATGATAACAGTAGGTAAATTATGGAACATGCATCAGGCAGCTGGTTCACCAGGTAAATGGTAATCCATGGGTATGTGTTTGTCAAGTTTCCTTTTGAAGCTATCCACTGAGAGGGTCGTGGTCACTTCGACCAGGAGAGCATTTCAAATGAGGGCAACTTTTAGTAAGCGAAAGTGAGTGTACCTGGGTATTCACTCCTTAATGGGTGATCTTCTGAGGGTTGCCTTGACGAGCGTGGTGTTCTTATACTCGTGTTCGGGTGGTTTGGCGTACTTAATGTTATATGTCATTATCAGATCACTTCTTATTCTCCTGTAGTTCAGCGAGGCTAATCTCAGGTTTCGAAGCCTCTTCTTGCAATATTTATGTTTTATACGCATCATTCACTTGGCTGTCCGTTTCTGTACTTGGTCTAAGAGATTGATGTTTCTTGAAGCGAGGGGGCACAATGAAATTATGGATTTCAGGGCGGAGCTGTGCCTACATTTCGAACATTGTTACGAACAACTTTGGAGTGACTGCTCGAGGCCGCCTTTGCATAAAGTAGAAAGTTGAGTTTGCCTTGGCTTCATGCCTCATGTAGTTTGAGCTGGTGTTTAGGCTCTCTGTGGTTATTAGTTCAGAGCCACGCTCTAAGGAGACGATCGGAAGAGGATTTCCATGGGAGTGTAGGTTCTTCGTACCAAATGAGACAGGATGTTCATGATATGAAGTTTCAAAAGCAATAATAAAATGGTCCTAAACAAATTCAACTACTTTCTAGGGTCAGAAGAGGGTAAAAGATCAGCGAAGAACTAGGGTTAAGATTTTGAGTGGGAATTTGGGGTTAGGGATTAGAGTTAGAGTTTTCATCACAAACTGACATGAGATATAATGCCGAAATGCTATTTATTCTCACTTATGAATAAACTTTGCGTTACTGTCTTAGTTCGACAAGTAAGCACTGGTGTTCATCGTGACCTTTTTTTCAATAAAAGAGCGGAATCACACGAATTTATTTTCAGTTGCTTACAACCTGTGATCCTAAAAAATCAGTTGCAAAATGAGTCACTTTGAAGTAACTCCCAACGAAACTCTTCCATGTATTTTTAAGCCCATCTTATGATTATGACTTGTAAATATAAGTTTTTAAGCAACTGACGAGAATCAAACAAAATATAGTAAATTCCTGTTATTCTGCTCAGATCTTTTTTCTTACTCTCTTCAAAACATAAAGGGAACTGTGTAAAAGATAAATTGATGAGTTGTTCTGGAGAAAGAATTCTCGACCTTGAGTATGCGGATATCTTATTGTGCGATGATACCCAAGCCATGCAATCCTCACTTAATCGTTTGGCAGTTAGTGTCCGTCGGTATGGTATATGCTTTGCATCAAAGTGCAAAGTACTTTCACAAGACTGATCGTATACTCACCCTGGATAGTGAGCAGATAAAAGTAGTCGAGAGGTTCGTGTATCTGGGTATGGCGCACATATATTTGGTGCCATTTTGTACCAATATTTATGTATTCAAATAAATAAATAAAACATCCATCACAGCTTCTATCTTGACTGACTAAAAATTAATAACAATATGTGTTACTGAAGTTGCTTAGCCCAGTTTTGTTGATACCTTCACAAAATGGCCTATCTGATTCTCAAAATATATCTCTGCCATCTCAAAAAAGCTAAGTTGACTGGTTAGTAACAGAATTAGAGAGAATTCAAGGATCTTCATCTCCTGATTATTTTACAAGCTCGATAAAAATTTTGATATTAACCGGAATCTCGTGTCTTCCATCCATTGTTTTTGGGTTGATAATTATTGCACGGCGGTTGTGATTCCCCCACCCCCTGTTGATGATTTAAAAATTTTGAGATAGGTGATTGGTGAACTTGTTATTGAAAGTGTGTGTTCACGTGATAAGCATTTTGTCACCCGTAATAATTTGTTAGTTGGCTGTAAAATGTGCATCTTTGTAATCTGATTATTTCAAATCCAAGTAGCAGTAACTGGTTTGATTGAATGTCAGAATTTACAAGTTTACATTTGAATTTTATTTTGAGTAAATAATTCTGTCTGACTGTTCCATCCGAGTTTTGATAAAAGTTTCGACTTCTGAAAAAAGTAGACACCAATTCTATTTGACTGCCCTTTTATACTGTCTGTGAATATATATCGGGATAAACTTTTTGATCAAGTAGAAATGGATCCGAAGTCGTTAGGTTTCGTGACAAGAGAAGGACTATGTATCTCATTAAAATTAAACTGGGAAAAACTGACAACTATTTTTAGGAATTGATAATAGTGATTACTGGACTTGAAAGCTGATCAAATGTTTAATGCACAAGTAGTAAACTGATTTTCATTTTAGCATTTCCATAAGTTATTTTAACACAGTTTGGTCTTGTAATAATCGTTATATATATGTAAACATATGAATAAGTTGTCGTTATAACATAATGAATAGGGTATATATTAGTCACGTTAAACGAAAGAGATTGATGAATGAAACAACTTTTACGCTTTCCCAAATTAATAATAATAATTTCTGATAAAGAAGCAAATAATATTTAATATGAGAAGGGTTTTTGTGGATATTACAGTAGTTTCAATGGTTGAGATCATAAGTAAATTGGAGCTAGACCACCATGGAAAACCTGTGAGCACTGGAAGGCCGTTTCGTCCTATTGTGGGGCTCTTCAACAGTGCGCACCCACGACCCCGCCTCATGAGATCCGAACCCGAGACCTATCAGTCTCACTCACGAGCGCTTAAACTTTAGACCACTAAGCCGGCCGACATTAAACGGTTTTAATGTCTAACTTCAACCAAATAATATTTATGACTGATTTCGTCAACAGTGATTCATAATAGAAAAGAGTTGCTGGATTTCCCCGTGAAAACAGTTTCGTTAATAAATGCAAGATTGTAATTGCGTTATATTGCAAATTCATTATAAGTGAAAATTGTTTTCAACTGTACATTGTCCATTCTATGTTGTTGAGTAGTATATAATTCTGACGAAAAAAGATACTTTTCTGTGTATGTAGTAATTTAGATCAGTTATTGTGTGGTAGGTTTATTTTACGTGACGTCAATAGAAAATGTTTTGTAAGTATGCAGTCTGATCAAATCATTGTCTGAATTTTTTTTTGATGTTATTTGTAAATGACATCTCATACATTATTTATTTAGAAAGTTTGAAATCATTTTTCCAGTCATAGGTTTTATTTGTTAAACATATTAAAGGACACTGACGAATTCTATGTACATATTTGTAATATTTGGGTACGTTTTAATATTAAACCTGAAACAGATAAACGTTTAAAAAAATAGCCTTTTTTGACAAGTAATTGAAATATGGTCGTATTAATTGTAAGTGGACAGATGTACGTCTGACATCAGAAATTTTCTTATACCCATTATACTGCTGAATGTAAATAATGTAAACTGTATCAGTTGAAATTCAGTTATACCAACGTTTAATTTCGATGTATTAATAACTAAAGGCGTACATTTTTCTAGTTGAACAATTAAAAAAACATTAAAATATTCTTATTAAACTTTGCATGTACTATTGTTAGACAGATTAGTATCATAGTTCCCTTTATTATCTTAAAGATTAGTATCCATTAGATGATATAGACATTTGATAAACCATAAAGAAGTATTCCTAATATGTGGGCTATGATCATGTTGTTATTATTACTAATCTCAAATTATTATTTCAGTTAACCTTTCCTATAGAAACAATGTTGTTGTACCAGTGATTTAATCTTGGTACATAATTCTCAGTTATTGTACAGTAAATCAATGGTAACGATAACTTAAACTTGTACCAATTTTCAGTAAACACTTAAAGATAAAAAAACGTTTTCATTAGTAGTGACTGAAATGTTGTACGCAAGGAGTTATCAGATAAACATTTAAACTACTTCGCTGACAATGAGATTAAAGAAAATTGTTTGATGCCATTTTTCAACCAATTGAAACGAAAGAAATTAAATAAAATTGTGCATGGCCCTGAAAAAGATCTTTACTCGGTCTCTTAACATTTCAGATTGTCCCGAACAGTAACGCTGCACATGGGTCAGTAGAATCCATGGAATTGTGGTGGTGCGTTCCAGCCACAATATAAATGAAACATCGCATTGCAGCGACAAAAAAACCCAAGTACTTCCATCAGGAGTTGGTGACTGAGCAAAATTGCAGTCGGTTGTCGCGGGCATCGTCGTCATTACTTAACGTGGCATCCAAATCCACGTTTGTTCGGTAGTTGGGAATTTTCGTCTGTTGGATCAACGGCGTTGTAACATCCATGGAATTGGAGGCTCCATCTGAAACTCATTTGCTGGCGATGACGTCAACGGCTCTGGAGACATCGTTCCGTAAACCACTTGATGCACGGAGTTATAGACAACACTACATTGTTCTTCAGACATACGTCTTATCAAGAAGTACGATGTTTTTTGATGTTTGAAGAATTGGGGATACGCAAAAAGGTAAAACCACTACTAATTCTTAAATCGGGAGCCACCTCTCTTTTAGACCAAAGCACCCGGTTCCCTATGTAGCGCTACCCATTGTTGAGCAAGAATTAAAATGCCTTCAAAGAAGTGGAATCATAGAAGCAGTGAGTTTTTCTAATCGGGCAGCATCAATAGTGATTGTTTAGAAGCCTAATGGAAGTATCCGGCTATGTGCAGATTATTCGACAGGATTAAACAAAGGACTTAAAGCTCATCAGTACCCTTTGCCAGAGGACGTATTTGCGAAACCGAATGTGGGGGAGCATTTCGCAAAATTGAATCTATCAGAAGCTTATCTACAGCATTACCTGACAACAAACACGCATAAAGGTTTATTCCGGTATAACAGACTTCCTTTTGGAGTAAAGACCGCCCCTTCAATCTTTCACCAAGTTATGGACACTATGTTGCAAGACATTCCTGGTACTGCGACGTATCTTGATGATATACTAATCATGGGTACGGACCCTAGTGACTTACGGAATCGGAGCAGTGACTTCATATACCCACCCTGACGGATCTGAGAAAACAATCATCTACACTACACGATCTCTGACGACGACAGAAAAGAACTACAGTCAGATAGAAAAAGAAGCCCTCTCCATTATATTCTTTGTAAAAAGTTCAACAATATGCCATTTAGCAGACAGTTTACCTTACTAACAGACCACAAACGGCTACTGACAGTTTTTGGATCCAAGAAGGGTGTCCCTGTATACACAGCAAACCGTCTACAGCGATAGGCAACTACATTGCTGGCCTATGATTTCAAGATAAATTATCAATCGACAACGGATTTCGGACAGGCAGATGCCTGCTGTAGAAGTTAAGGCTGAAGTTCATGCAGTGTTGGCAGACTCAGTTTCCGGACTGCCGGTCACATTTGAAGCCAGTAAACAAGCAAGTAAAAAGGATAATCTGTTGAAGATTGTTCGTCGCTGTATACTCAACTACTGGCCCTCATTTAGACTGCATGAAGAGCTCTTACAATATTTCCGTCGGCGAGATTCCCCGACAGTTGTTGATTCGTGCATTATGTTTGGCCACCGTATCATTATCCCCAGAGCTCTTCGACATCAAGTCCTTAAACAGTTCCATAGCGGGTACCTAGAGATTAAAGTGAAGTCACTGGTTCGGAGATACGTATATTGGCCGTCAACGGACCGTAATACAAAACAAAAGTGTCGCAGTTGTTGGTCCTGTCAAGAAGCCACAAAGAAACGGACAAAAGCAGAACCACAAACATGGTCAAAACTGGACGAACCTTGGTAAAGAATACACGCTGATTTCGTCGGCTCAATACAAGGTGGAAATTACTTGGTTGTTGTAGATGCTTTCACGAAATGACCGGAAGTATATGATATGCCGAACACGACGTCAGAGTAAAATAAGAAAGTTGTCAAGATTGTTTGCTTGTTTTGGGGTTCTAGAGATCTTGGTAACCGACAACGGCACTCAGTTCGTGTCATCCGCTTTTAAACGGTTTTGCAGCGAAAAAGCATAACGCATCTACAGTCTGCTCCAGTTCAGTCGAATGTACTTCGTACGTTATTATCGTCCATAATTTGAAAAGTTGTTCTGTCGACAAGTACTTACATTTTATATCAATTTTAAGAAATAAATAACCAATTATCCAGAATTTAAAACTAGTCACTTATTTGGACGAAACGGAATGAAAAATTTTTAAAAATGGGATGAGAAAAATCAATCAAAAAATACAAAAATCGCCGTGCGTTTAATGATATTCTTGTTTTGGGAGCAAAATGTAGTGTTACTTTTCTCATCTAGTTATTTAAAGTTGAAGCAATGAAGTGTGTACTTGGCATCAGGACTAATTTTCCCTGCTAATCTGTCTTATTTGAGTTAGGGAGGACGGCATTTGAACTTTGATCTCACTGTTATAAATCAATTACTTCAATTAATAAGCCATTACTGCATCTTTCATCATAGCTTTCATAAACAAGGTATGATTAGGTCAATTCTTCGTATATCTTGGTGTAAGGTTATTTTATATTGTGTAGTAGTGTCCAGATTTTCATTCACAAGCTTTATATGTCCTTAAAAGCACTTCATGCTAGCCATCTTTTCTCACCAGTGCTAGACTGACTAACCCTAAGCCGTATTTTATATGCTGCTAGCGATCCTCCTCAGTGGTGTCGTGGATATAAAATATAGCTCAGAATAAGAGCCAATGGTGATCCTGTAGTAGCTTTATCAATGCATGCTTTCATAAACAATAAAATATATATTTTGGAAATGAACGAAATCTCTATTGGTCATGTCCGTAATTTGATGTTGTTTTTTAACATATTTTATTTTTAGTTCTATGATTTTTCACATCATATTTTTTAACAATATTTTTGTTTCACGGAACGTGATGGATATATTGGTCTTGTTTTCTTAAAAAACGTTGTGTCTGTTAAAATAAATGAAATCCCAGTCATTTGCTTAAACTAAGGTAAATGGAGCAGGATTCAAATCTTCTACTAAATCACTAAAAGTTAGGTGTTTACACTATTCGATGACCGTAGAATAGTTAATGATTGCTCTGTCTACTGAATTATTGCTTCAAATCCTACTGCCCGTACATCAATGTAGATAATATATTTTGTTTAATCTTTGGGTCATAAAGGTAGTGCATATTCTAATACTTGAAAATGCATTTCCTTATCATCTAGTAATGCAGGAAAATACAATATTTAATAAGTTATGCTGTAGTAGTCCTCATATGTGGTCCTCTCCTGCCTTAATGTTATAGTACATCTGAACCTTGAAATTTCATTTATAACCTTTCTTTCATCCACAATTATAGATTATATGCAGTCAAATCAACGGTCAACGTCAAGTAATCAACCTAATTTTCCACGCAAAAGAAATACACATGTTCAAGGGTTGAAATCTAGACTTCGATCGAATATTAATTCAATTTTATCCAATTATGAAATGATTTTATCACGATCCAAGGTACACTGTAAATTCCTGTGCTTACTTTTCCTGTCTGTAATTACAAAATTTTAGATTGACCCAAATGAGGTTACTAAAGGTCTTGGTCCATATGCTCAGTGTGCTCAAGATACATTTGAATTCAGCGTAAGAGCAGCAAATATAGTAAGTTGTATTGTGAAGTTTCCTTGTGATTATAGAGAGAATAGTTGTCCGAATGTTTTTTTCAAACTGGATTTCACCAACCCTTATTCATTAAATAATCAGTGTGTTTTCTCTTCATTTGGATTTGTTCCTTACGTTAATGTTTATTCTCGACTGGCGGATGAAGAACAACTAAAAGTTAGCGATTACTGATCAACTATCTCAAAAATTCAAAACCACATCTGCACTAAAATCGTACGCAAAATCTTCATAACTTAAGGCAGATACTTTACCATTAAACCAGTGGTTAGAAACTCGATAATCTACAGTTCCAACTTCATTCTATTTTTGACTCAGTAAACTTAGCGTTTTCAGACATTTTTTAAAGGTGAACTTTTAATAAATATTTGCTGATATATATATTATACATGCGAGTAACCATCACGTTCTTATATTGCGTTCTAATATTGACTGCTTAAAACTAGCTATTCACATCAGTAAACTGTATTCAAGGATCATGTGGACAATAAGACAATTGATGTAGTTATCTATATGACTCAACCAGTGTTTCAAGTTGCAAACCCACTTCACCTACTTATATTTTAAAAAAAAACTGGGTGTTATTCCTAACCTTCACAGCAATTTTGTTCTAATTCGAGTACATGAATTTGTAGTTGGTTGCCTATTTATACTAAATTTCATTCGCAACATGGATTGCAAGTTTTAAAATAATAATCAACTATTCTATATCACGTAATTGGAATAGCATTTTTAGCGTAAAATAAATCTATTTTATTCTTGGTCTTTTCTCATTAGCTCTTAGTGGCCGTTGTATGATTCGGATCGTTATTGATGTAGACGAAATATGGACCCCACATACATCGTATATAATCTGTCAATGAATACCGTTGATAACAACGTGGTTATAAAAAGTCAATACGAGTGTTTCAGATGTTTATATTTCATACGTTCAATTCTTCTGACAGACGAAGGAATAAGCAATGCAGAAAGCAAACGTGCCTACTCGAAATACTACTCATTACAAGCATCCTCTCTCTTTATAGAAATGCTTTCATATAACCACGCATATATGGACACTATCAGTCAAGTCTTAATCGCAGCCTTCTCGTGGCGCAAGGGGGTTTACGAGCTTGAGAGAACAAAAAGCAAGCGTCTAGCCTATGAAATGGGCTGAGGGTCCACCTCGAGATGCTGAAAAACCCTGATTCCAAACCAGAAATGCACATGGGTTCCAGGACCTTGAGGGAACAAAAAGTGTGAACTTATTTGTGGTCACTGTTTACTAAAGGAGCACATCTGTCGTTGTTCCACTGCCTTGTGGACTAGACCTCTGAATCAAAGGCTTTGATAGTTGCCTGCTAAAAAAAAACCATCTACTTTCGTTTAGGCACCCGGGGAGTATCCCAGCGACCACACAACTTTATTGGTCTGTGTGGCGCCTATATATTTTGCTTCTCCTTTGTACCAATGTTTGTGTTTGAATTAATAATATTGAAAAGTTTTATTTTTATTGGTACAATGAAGCACCAGATATATATGTTCCACACTTCGTCATTCAATTTTTGTGAGGTCTGGAATACTCCCTGGGCGCTCAAACCAAAACAGGGATAATAGAAAGAATACGGTTAGTAGAAAGGTAAAAATGGTTTAATAGTCACTTAGTGCCTAAGTTATTAAATTCTATCCAAAGCCTAGGATAAACACATATTTAACGGCATTATGTGCTACGACTTCTATATTATCTCTTGAAATGGTGATAATCAACAAAATAGAATGAATACATCTCGCTTTTCTAAATGTGTTCTTTCAACTGTTGTCCAAATATTCCGTTGATGAATTTATATGGTAATTCTTTAACTCATTATACAATCTTATCAGTTCAAATGAATTATTTCCAACATTATATTGTAATTGTTCGAAATTTGTTTTCAGAGTGATTATTAATGTCATTACTAATACAGTCTGTCAGTCAGCTACAACGTAAGACCAGCCACATATATGCATCAGTCCAAGTTGCCATACCTCAATAACACAACAAGATGGACACCGGATTCATAAGAGTAGTTAATTCAGAGGTGGTAATATATAAAAGAAAGATTGCAATAAGGATATAGTACAGGAAGAAAGAATTAGTTCGTAGAAAGAAGGAAAGATAGGAAGCGATTTTAATCTCTTAGTTTAAGGGAAGACAGAGAGTGTATACACCGACGCCATTATGATCGATTCTGAGCCATGTCACCCAGAGTCTCCAACCATTGGTTACGATAGTCACGCGGACTCCAACCAAGTAGTTTGAATCTACCAACATGGCTCAGACTAGAAGTGAGTGAGTTCAAGCACTGATGCCACGTTTTGGTTTGGCCACCCCTAACTTTCTTCCAATCATTCCCAACAATAGCCAGTATTGCGCGTTGTGGTAATCGGTGTGCAAGCATACGTAACACTTGGCACAACCATCTCAGTTGATGAAGATTCACAAGCTCATCAACTGACTTACCATCACTCCCTAATACCCTGCATCTAACCTCACTATTACTTACCCGGTGATCCCAGAAGACGCCAGCAATATTTCTAAGGCATTTGTGGTCAAATACTAGTAGCTTACGAGTGTCTTCTACTCTTAATGGCCATGTTTTGCTGCCGTAAATTAAAACAGAACGAACTGCCGCGCAGTATACTCGTCCTTTTATTGATAGACGGATATCTCGCCTTCGCCATAGGTGACGTAAGTTAGCAAACGAGCTTTTCGAATCCGTGCTAATACACTATCATAAAACATTTCTATTATTCATATTTGTAATAATAATAATAGTGATTATTTTTTTTTATTTTTTTAGGTACATGCTTGTGAAAATATCACTCGTCTAGTATCAGAAATTAAACAATTTTTAATATTAGGCGATTTTCGTTGGTTAGCACGAGTGAATTCATTAAATCAAGAAAAATTGATTCTTCAAAAATTAGATTTAGATCGTGTCAGTAATCGACTACGTGATAAACTTGTTGCTGAATTACATAATTTAGAACAAGAAACAAGTCCAGATTATCCTATTAATACTTTTCCAAAAAACTATTCAACAGTAAAAAAAAATACAAGTTAATTGTTGTATCTTAACGTAATTTTGTCAATTATAAATATCCATTGAGTTAGTTATATTGATATTCCTTAGCGTTGATCATTCATTCCATGATGGAAACTCTTAGTAAATGAGAAATTTTCTATTCCTAATCAACAATGTAAACATTGTCCCCTCCCCTTAATTGAAAGAAAAATTTACTTCAAGGCTGGTTTAAATCAATGCTTGAACTAATGATAAGGAGTATATTAAATGGTCGCTTTAACTACTTCACTTATTTTAGAAGTTCTATCAGCCCTGATGAATTGGTATCTGACAAAATCTTGGTATGGATTCAGAAGGTCCGGCGAGCAATTCGGAACTTGCATCTTAGTCATCCCAACATAGATATAAAAAACAAGGTGTTCTAATAAAACTGACTACGTGTAAATAGTTGTGATAGGTTTTTATGTTTTGTCACATCATTAACATTAACAGACGTTGTACGTCCGATAGTTTCAGGACAACGTTGTTCAAGATCATTCAACTTTTCTTCAATATAATCCTAATTATGTATCATAATAATAGCCAAGTGTAAATTCGCTATTTGTTTGGTGATTGACTAGGTATGACTAATCATAAGATAAATGTGTAGCAAACATCATATAATATTACTAAGATTATTTCAATCGACTGAATACAGGTTAATGTACGTCTTCAACCCACACTCCAAGTGTGAGGGCTTGTGATACTACTCAGTTATCCAGACCAAAGTAGATGGAGCGGCGTTCGAACTTATGAGTTAGTGACTAAAAATCGAGCACCTTAAACAAGTCACCGTTCTACTAAAATCATGGAGAAAACCAATGCTAGTAACCTTTTACGACTAATTGTTAGTTTCTATATTCGGCTTCCAGGCACGCTTTATGTAAGACTTGATGATATACTGCTTAGCTACCCTAATCGATATATGTGGAACAAAATTTCAACCTCTACCCTACTAATTGGAAGTCGGGTGATATCACTATTAGCTATCACAGTGAACTGCATTACAACTTTATGCACAGCACATAAGGGCTAGTTAAAATGATAGAGGTTGCTGCTAAAGGATTATTTAGTGTGTAATTTAATTAACCACTAGAAGTCAACTTGTCTCAGGTAATTGCGCTTAACTTCAAAGTGTAATAAGAATATCTGGCTGAATTTTAAATAGAATGAGGTAATATTGGTTGCGAATCTTCAGAATATGTTAGACTACTTGCCTTAATTATACCTGTTACTCCTCGTAAAGGAGCATAGGCCTCTCACCAGCATTCCCCATCCAACCCTGTCTTGGGCAATCCTTTCCAGCTCTTTCAAGTTGTTCTTCACCCTTTTCAGATCTGCTTATATTTCACGATGTAATGTGTTCTTTGGCCTTCCACTTTTCCGCTTCCCTTCAGGATTCCAAGTTAGCACTTGTCTCGTGATGTAGTTTGGTGATTTCCGCAACGTATGTCTTATCAATTTCCATCGTCTTTTCCTAATTTTCTCTTCATTTGGAAGTTGTTTTGTTTTCTCAAATAGAAGGCTATTGCTGATGGTATTCGGTCAACGGATATTGAGTATCTTCAGCAGACAACTGTTTATAAATACTTATACCTTCTTGATGATGGTTGTGGTAGTCCTCCAAGTTTCAGCACCGTACAGTAGAACTGACTTGACATTCGTATTGAAGATTCTGACTTTGATATTGGTTGAAAGTTGTTTTGACCTCTATATGTTCTTTAACTGTAGGAATGCGGTGCCTGGCTTTACTAGTCCTTGCCTTTACGTCTGAATGCCATCCAAAATAACGTCGCTTATAAATAAGATTACTGTTCACAGATCTGATTTTACTCAAAAATGAGGACATTATACGGATAAAATCTCCCAGGTTGGAAACTTATCCTTTACTAATGATGAATAGGAATCAGTTAGCCAGAATCAGATACCTGAAAAATTAATTTAGGATGATGTTAGCTTGCAGTTGTGCAGCTTTCTCCTGAGGATAAGCAGTATTTGCTTAATTGTCGAGAGAAAGTTGAGCATGTGGAAAATCAAACTATTGGTTCAACCTCTTCCATATCTTTAAGATGTCGTGAAAAGCTGCTTTCGAACCGCTTAATATATTCTGAGAATATTACAAAACCATGTGTGTCACATACGACAAGAAATGAGAACAGTTGATCACGCATATTTCTCAGTGATCTAGTATACTGTGTGGACGAGATGCATCTTCCCAACAAACCATACTATTTTCAACAGTTGAGATCATGAGTTAATTGAAGCTAGATCACCATGGAAAACCTGGAAGCACTGGACGGCCGTTTCGTCTTATTGTGGGACTCCTCAGCAGTGTGCATCCAGGTTTTCCATGGTGGTCTAGCTTCAATTGACTCATGATCTCAACTGTTGAAATTACTACAATCTCCACAAAACCCCTTCCCATACTATTTTATTTCCGAGTTAGCTCAAAAATTCATTATATTAGCCTGATTCTTCAAAAGCGATAGTGTAATATATCAAAGTTGCAAGCGTATACTGCCAAAATAGGGCATAAAAGTTAAATGCAAACGTTATCGAAATATCATGAAAAACCGTTATGAGGTGGAGAAATTATGATCTAAGCCATGGCACCATGATTCAGTACATTTTTATACGTGTCACATGAAACTTAACACTAGGTGACTATGAGAGGAGAAGATAACATTTTTAGTTGAAAAAAACAAACAAACAATTCCTTCCACGACGTCCGATTCAAACATAACGGCTTCTTATGCTCTTGTTTAATCATCCACAGGATTGAAAATTCAAAGAATGGACTAAAGCATCGTAATTGGTAAATCAAATTATTAGGTAAATGAGTCAGCAACATATATTTATTTGTCATACCGCATACTTACTTACGCTTGTTACCACTCATAAAGGAGCGTAGGCGGCTTACCAGCATTCTCCGTCTAACTCTGTTCTGGGCAATCCTATTCATGTCTGCTTCCGATTCCAGACTATGGTGACATATATTCAGTGATTTTTGTAACAACAAAAATAAAAACCACATTTTTTCTCGAATTTGTCACACTTTATTTGTAACCACATTTTTATCTAATATCTGTTGTTTTGCTGTATCACTTGTTAAAAAGACGATGATAATTGTTTCGATGAATGGTATACACTTCTACTACCGGGTTGTTTAAAATATAGAACAATACCTACGCTGTTTGTTCTTCTGTTTTATTGGCCACCGTTTTGATTGAAGACTATAATAGTATTATAACACCCTTATAGGCCTTCCGACTCAACGTTGGAATTTTGGCACGGATTACTATTGTATAATACTAATGGACTCCGTCTTCCTCATTACGTCTTTGGTGCAGTCACTTGCAGAGGAACACCTGTTAACCAAGTGAACTTAGTTTGTGGTCGTTGTCCTCACGAGGCAGTTTGCAAGTAACATTCATTCTATAGTAACTGTTAGCGTCTGTTTGTTTAGTATACCTTTTGTATTGCTAACGGTATTTTATTACCTTTGTTTTTACTAACGGACAGACATCTAGGTTTCTTAATCATTAATTCGTTTTGGTATATCAGTGTTAACCTAGAGTATCAATATATTTTGTGTAAGCTCCTTTTGTTTGGGGACCACCACAAGACGCAGTGTGTTCCTTGATATTTCTCTCTTCCGTCTGCCCTCAAGATTTCAAGTTAGCGCTTGCCTCGTGATGCAGTCTGATAATTTCCTTAAAGTGTGTCCTATCCACATCCAGTGAATTTTTCCGATTTCCTCTTCACCTAGAAATAGGTTTGCTCTCTCCCACAGTAGGTTGTTGCTGATGGTATCCAGCTAACTGACGTTCAGTATCTCATGTAGATAATTGTTTATGAATACCTGCATTATTCTGATGATGGTTGTAGTAGTTGTCGATGTTTCAGCTCTGTACAATAGAACTGTCTTGACGTTCGTTTTGAAGATTCCGACTTTGATATTGGTTGACAGGTATTTTGAGTTCTGTATGTTCGTCAACTGTAGTAATGTTGTTCTTGAATTACCATTCCTTGCCTCCACTTCTGCATCAGATCCTCCACCTCCGTCGATGATGCTGATGAGCCAGGTGCGTGTAACTTCCCACCTGTTCCAGAGTTTCTCCATCAAGTGTGATTAGGTTGGTGTTCTCTGTGTTGTATTTGAGGATGTTTATATTTCCATTGTGTATGTTGAGGCCTACTGATGCAGAGGTTGATGCCACACTGTTTTTCTTGACCTGCATTTGTTGGTGTGTATGGAATAGAAGAGCTTGGTCGTCTGCGAAGTCTGAATCGTCTAGTTGCATCCAACCTATCCACTGGATTCTGTGCTTCCCTTCGATTTCGAGGTCTTCATAATACAGTCAACCATCAGAAGAAAGAGGAAGGGGCAGAGCAGGTAGCCTTGTCTGACACCGCTCCTCACTCGGAATGCGTCTGTCAGCTGTTCTCCATTAAAACGCTTGCAGTGTGGTGCACCGCATTGTAGTGAACAGAACATCAGTGGGGACAATCGAATGTATTTAACACAAAATTACATGACTTATTAATAAAATCTAACAATCATAAAGTAAATGCTTAATTTGTGAAACATCCATTAATTGTCTGAAAAAGACTCAGACTTCATTGTTCTTGCATTTTCATACAAATTGCATCCTGCTTCCACTCTTTACTGTTCGATTCGCTTGTCTCTCTGCTGCCAGACCTTCAGTTCACGACTAACATCCTATACTACTTATGTCAATATAAGTAGCACACACCATAGTATGAATTCTGGATGATGTTGACAATATTCTCAGGAACTCCATAGTGTTGAAGAAGGTTCCATAATGTCCTCCTGTCCACACTGCAAACGCTTTCTCGTAATCAAAGAAGTTGACGTATTGTGACGATATCCATTCAATCGACTATCCAGTGTCGCGATTCGGTCTGTGCACGACCGATCCTTACGCAGTCCAGCCTGTTGATCTCGGAACTGAGAGTCTACCAAATCATTCATCCGGTTCATTAACACTCCGTTGAAAGCATTCACTCGCACT